TGTTAAAATATGCATAGGGAAAGGGGTGAAAAATGTTGGAATGGCTGTTGCCTGGTCTCTAATTTGTACTACATTTTCTGCAACATCAATCCAAAACTCAGAAAAACTCCATAGCACCCTGATTTCTTTTTTTTTTGGTCAAACATAGCACCCTGATTTCAATAGCATATATTAAGACATTGATGTTCTATTTTTCAAAGTTTTTGTTTCATTTAAGCTAAGAACACATGAATAAAGTGGACATGTTCTCTGCAAGAACAGGTTCGATTGGATAAAAAGAATCCAATCGAGAAAGATATCGCTGTTGGGTGCGTTCTTCTTTTCTATTCATATTTGTTTTTACTTTGCATTATCACGGCTGCACCACCTTATCTTCTCGTCCCCACGTCACCGCCTAAGAACGCTTTGTGCTTGTGCCCCAAGTAGATGCAACGTGACAATTAATTGTTTAAAGGTTTTTTTTTTATGAAAAATGAATGATATAAAATATATATTTTTAAAAATGGTTATGAATGATAACCATTCTATTTCTATTTTTCTGTTCCAGAAACAAGTTTGGAACAACAATTTCTTTTTTCAATTTATGGAACAAATTTTGATTTCAGAAATAGGTTTGGAACAGAAATAAGAAGAACTTTTCTATTTCTGAAACAAAAATGAGAAATAAAAATTCTTCTCATCGCTAGACCTCGCTACTAGTCGGTCGCCCACCCACTTGCCGGCCGCCGCCTCCTGCTGTTCGCCGTCTCCTGCCGCCAATCACCATGGGCCACCGTCTCTAGCCGCCGGCCACCTTCCTCTTGCCACTGCCGTCCGTCTACCGGCCACCGTCCCCTATCGCCGCTGACCCGCCAACCCGCCCGCCTCCCGCCGTCGCTTGTCACTCACCTCCGGCTGCTCTCGACGCCGGCCGCCTCCAGCCCCCGTCTTCCGTACTAGTCGCGCCGCTGTCCGCTGCCGCCTCCCCGCACCGTTCGCCGCCTGCTGTTCGCTGCCACTGTCCGCCGCCTGCCGTTTGTTGCCATTGTTTGCCCTCCTCCCACCGCCTCCCTCCCGCCGCCGGCCGTCGCTTGCCTCCTGCCGCTACCCTACGCTGGTCGCCTCCAGCTGCCGTCCTCCACACTAGCCGTGTCGCCGTCCACTGCTGCCTCGCCCTGCCATCCGCCGCCTGTTATTCGCTACCACGATCCGCCGCCTGCTGCCCGTCGTCCGCAGCCCACTGTTTGCTACCATGGTCCGCCGCCCGTCGCTCGTCATCCGCCACCGCCATCCGCCTGCCGTCCACTCGCTGGCCACCCGAGAGGAAGAAATTGTGTGCCGTTATCAAACAAAATTTTATTTCGGGAATAAAAATTTTGTGTTGTTATCAAATATGTATTTTTGCTGAGAAATTCATCCATGAAACATAAAATTGATTTCTGAAACAAAATGGTTGTCATTCGCGCCCTTATATCGTTGACAAAAGTGAATGAATGAAGACTATTTTCACTGTCCATGAAAATTTTTATACATAAAGTATTGTTGATAATAAAAATATTTTTTATTAACTAATTATTTCAAACAATTCAAGTGATCATTTTTAAAAAAAAAATATTTTTTTAATTGTTCTGTTTTTCGCGAAATAAAGACACCCTAGATTAAAATATTTTTTCTTTATCCCATATTTTAATATGACACGACCAAGGGCCGTCGTGCTATTATATGTTTTTTTGTTTACAAGTGTTCAAGGAGCTTGAAAATATGGTACTGCAGGTAATCACAATCAACCATCTGATAAGAAACTATAAAAAGGGTTCTCAAAAATTTTTGCAATATATATTTAGGACTTAAGTACGCCAATTAAAAAAGTTGAGGGCTCGAAAGCATTTCGCATGTAAAAACTTTCTTTGATGGTCGAATTCTATGATCGTATGCACACTGTTGGAATTTTGTGCTCTAGTACGATGAATAATCCCACCATAGGGGTATGCCTCCTATTTTGGATATGTAATATTTAGCTATTTTTCCTTATATCTTATTTTTATAAAAAAAATAACAACAAGATAAGCATGGATTTTCGCCAATAGGGAATTAGTGATGTATGTTATTTTGAATAACACGTCATGAACAGAGAACCCTAGTAATGTCGATAGCAAGTAATTGTAATGTAGATTTAGGTATGATTTTCTAAGGTAATTTCTTCAAACGGTTGAAGCCCAACCCAACAAATCTAAGGCCTTGTGGAAACTTGTGTTAAAAGCTTGTCTGCGCTCCATGGACTCAGCTTCTCCTTTTCCCTCTCTACAAAATCTCTCCGTCAAACTTCTATTTTTTCAACAACAGCAAAAGCTTAAACTTCTAAGTAAAGAGAGTCCTAATCATGCACGACCCAATTGTATCCATTCCATCAAAAAAATTTCGTGATTGACTTTAAGTTATGATTTTATCAAGATGGCTTTAACGGAAATAGTAACTCTAGGATACGATGCCTCTGCAAGAACACGATATTGATGCACTTCATAGTGCTTTTCATTTAGGAACTCAAACCCATAAATTCAAGAGAAACATTGTATGGTGGAGAGGAAAAAGAAAATCTCAAATATAGATTTGTTATTATTATTTTTTGGGAATATTCCAAAAAGGGGCCCGAAGTGGAGTCATTTTCTCAAATAAGAGCCCGAAGTGGACCTTGTCTTAAATAAGGGCATGAAGTGTTCCTATTTTCTTAAATAAGGGCATGAAGTGAATCTTGTCTCAAATAAGAGCCTGAAGTAGCCATATCAATCTCAAATAATGACCTAACCTCTCTGGCCAAAGGATATTTTCGTCTTTAACTTTTTTGAATTTTTTTTCTTTTCCTTTCTTTTTTTTTTTCCTCTCTTCCCTCCGTCGGCCATCGCCGAGGCCAGCGGAGATCGCCGGCCTCAGGCGGAGGCCGCTCTCGCCGGCGTTGGGTGAGGGCCGCCCATGCCAGATCTGGCGAGGGTCTCCCTAGCTCGCCCAGCCTAGGCGAGGCGACCCTCGCCAGATCGAGCAAGGACGACCCTTGCCCGACGCCGATTGGGCGGCCCTCGCCCAATGTCGGCAAGGGTGGGCGAGGGTGACCCTCACCAGATCCGGCGAGGGCAACCCTTGCCCGACGCCAACGAGGGCTACCCTTGCGCAATGCGGGTTGGGCGGCCCTCGGCCGACGCCGTCGAGGGAGGCCCTTGCCTGAGGCCAGTGAAGGTCATTAGACAGGTGCAGTGACGGCTGGGGATGGAAGAAGAAAAAAGGAAAAAGAAAAAGGAAAAGAAAAAGAAAGTAAAAAAAATCAAAAAAATATACTTATAATTTTTTTGACTAAAATATCCTTTTTCCGTTGACGGAATAGTCACCGGCCGGCCAAATGTCCTTACTTGAGATAATTTGGCCACTTCATACCCTTACTTGAAACGATTTGGCCACTTCATGCTCTTATTTGATATAATGTCCATTTCAGGCCCTCATTTGATAAAATGACTTCACTTCGGGCCATTTTTTGGAATTTTCCCTTATCTTTTCAGTCTTCCTTTGATCTATTTAAAGACCCAAAAAGTGAATAGGTGTGTGAATTTTGAAAAGTCGTAACTCTTCCAAAATAACGTCAAATGTTGCATCTCCTCAAAAGGTGACAAGTAGAAACTTTTTGGCGTCACACGTTTTAGAACAAAATTTTTCCTAAGCATTATACTTTACGAAACAAAATTGCTTCTTGCACCATTTCATGCAATAAGACATCATTTAACTTTCACAAACTAATTGAGTCTTTCGTCTAAGTTTGACCGACCCATTATTATTCTTTTTTTCTTCTCCTCCAAAATAAAACATATATGAACACACGGGATGAAAAGTATAAAAATCAATCTTAATAAATATTATTGGTGAGTACATTATTGACGCCGGAAAAAGTATAGAGAAGTAGGAGGCAACACAAGTGAGAACTAAAATAGATAGGTTGCTGGTCACTCGTAGGTAATTAACCTTGGGGTTAAAAGAAAATACTTGCCACCCGTAGTAATCCACCTAAGGGATAAGAGTAAAACAAGAAATCCTTATTGTTCTCAAGCCAAAGGCTCAATTAATTTTACTCAAAATAAGTCTTGCTTTGTTATTTATCATAGCATGCTTAAATAGAGCATGGAACAACCCTCCAACCTTGAGTAATTACTAAGACTCTTTGGAAAATCAAAAGACTCATAGGAAAGACAAACAACATTTACTAGAAAGCAACCATAAATAAATAAGGACTCTAGAAACTTGAACGGCATTAACTGACCTAGAAGATATATGAGAATTAAATATAATCGATTGAAGGTCTCCATAATTTTACCATTTCCACAGTGGATAATTTAATGGCCTTTATATTTTTGAAGGAACCGAATAGCTTTCAGTTCGTTGTGATGGATGAGTCGACTTGGAATCGACAATATCGACAAGAGTCGACTTGGTGCTGATAATATCGACAAGAATCGACTTGGTGCTGATAACATCTTTCTCCATTTGAGGCCAATAAAATTTTTCTTTGACAAGAGAGAATATCTTGTCTCATACGAAATGACCAGCTAAACCACCACCATGGGTTTCATGGATAATGGCTTCTCTTAGAGAACTTCTCGGTATGCACAAGCAATTATTTCTAAAAAGAAATCCATCTTGCAATAAAAATTGCTGAATTAGACCCCTCGAACAATCTTTCCAAATTTTCCCAAAGTCAGGGTCTTCTTCATAAAGCTCCTTGATCATGTCAAGGCCTAAGACCTTCACTTGCATTGTGGATAGCAAGGAATGCCTACGGCTTCATGCATCCTCCACTCAATTGAGAGTTCCAGCTTTATGTTTAATAAGAAAAGTGAAAGCTTGAAGAAACTCTACCCACTTGGCATGCCGATTGTTGAGCTTATGTTGAGTATTTACACACTTCAAGGCTTCATGATCCAAATAGAGAATAAATTCTTTATTGTGGATAGCAAGGAATGCCTACGGCTTCATGCATCCTCCACTCAATTAAGAGTTCCAGCTTTATGTTTAATAAGAAAAGTGAAAGCTTGAAGAAACTCTACCCACTTGGCATGCCGATTGTTGAGCTTATGTTGAGTATTTACACACTTCAAGGCTTCATGATCCAAATAGAGAACAAATTCTTTAAACAACAGATAATGTTGCCAATGATCCAAAGCTCGAACAATAGCACAACATTCCTTATCATAAGTAGAGTAATTCTTACGGGAATTATTCAACTTTTCGCTAAAGAATGCAATAGGTTTTCTTTCTTGGCTAAGAACCGCACCAATCCCCACATTGGAAGCATCACAATCAACTTCAAATACTTTATTAAAATCTGGAAATACAAGAATATGAGCCTCGGTTACCTTCTTTTTAAGGAGTTCGAAGCTTTGTTGTGCCTCTTTGGTCCACTTGAAACTCCCCTCTTTCAAGCATTCGGTGATAGGAGAATAATAGTGCTGAAATGCTTGATAAAGCGACGTTAAAATGAGGCCAAACCATGGAAACTCCGAATGTCATGTTTAGATGTCGGAATGGGCCAGCTTATAATTGCTTCCACCTTGCTAGGATCCATCTTGATGCCATCTTCAGAGACAATATAGCCTAGAAAGACAAGGTTATCAGTAAAGAAGTGACACTTCTTCAAGTTGGCATATAACTTTTGCTCCCGAAGAACCTTGAAAACTTGGCGAAGATGCTCCAAGTGTTGTTCTTGAGTAGAACAATAAACAAGAATGTCATCAAAATAAACAACAACAAAGCTGCCGATAAATGGTTTGAAGATATGATTCATGAGGCGCATAAATGTACTAGGAGCGTTAGAGAGACCGAAAGGCATAACCATCCATTCATAGAGTCCATCTCTTGTTTTGAAGGCAATTTTCCATTCATCTCCGGTTCTCATTCGAATTTGATGATATCCACTTCGAAGATCAACCTTGGAAAAGATAGTTGCGCCATGGAGTCGGTCGAGAAGATCATCGAGTCAAAGAATGGGAAAGCGGTATTTGATGGTAATCTTATTCACCGCTCTACTATCGATACACATACGCCAAGACCCATCCTTCTTCGGCACGAGAAGAGCTGGGACAACACATGGACTCATGCTTTCTCTCACCATTCCTTTAGCCAAGAGTTCATCCACTTGTCGTTGAAGCTCTTCATGCTCTTTAGATATCATTCGGTAGGCGGCTTTGTTTGGAATGACGGCTCCTGAACAAAATCAATGCAATGATGAATGTCTCTTATAGGCGGAAGACCGGGCGAAATTTCTTTCGAAACAGCATCCTTGAATTCTTGGAGAAGAGGTGCTACTTGAGAAGGAACGACATAATGTTCTTCATTCTCTTCTAACACCACAAGAGCATATGTCTCCAAGAAATCTTCCAAAGCCTTATCAACTTCAGATTTGGAGAGTAAATTATTTCCCTCCCCATTGGATAGTTTAGGAGTGCTCTCTATTTTAGAAGGACCCAAAGTGATTTTGACTCCATCCTTTTTGAAAGTATAAGTATTTTTGAAACCATCATGCTTAGTCTTTCTATTAAATTGCCCCGACCTCCCAGGAAGCAAATGGCAAGCATCTATGGGAACAACATCGCACCATACTTCATCATTATGTTTTTTTCCAATGAAGAATTGAATAAGGCATCGTTTATCAACCCTTACCTCATTCCCTTTGCGAAGCCAAGAGAGCATGTAAGGTTGTGGGTGTTTCTCTATCTTGAGGTGCAATTTATCTACCATTGTTGTAGCCATGACGTTCTCACAGCTTCCTCCATCGATAATAACATCACAAACATTCCCATGAGAAGCACATCTAGTGTGAAAAATGTTGTTGCGAAGCCACATACCATCTTCACTAGGAATAGCATTCAAGACCCGACGAAGGATTAGAGACTCTCCTTGATCTCCATAGATAACTTTATTTCCCTCTTCCAATCCTTCATTGGAACTAGGGAAGTCTTCGAAATTGTCTTCTTCATGCTCTTCTTCTACTAGAAAGACAATCTTACGATTTGGACAATCAGAGGCAATATGTCCAAATCCTTGGCAGTTGAAACATCGGATAGAGTTAGGGTGCTTTGAACTCGATGCTCCTTCATTCTTAGGAGTGGACTTTGAAGCGGCTGTTTTATTTTTAGTAGGAATACTCCCACTTTTGGAATAGCCCTCCTTGTCTCGATATCGAGAGCCACAACCACGAGCTTTTTTAAGTTGCCGTTCCACCATTAAAGCAAGTTGGCAAACATCATTATAAGTCCAGTAAGGTTGAAGTTGGACAACATTACCAATTTCTGAGCGAAGTCCACCAAGGTAGCAGGCAACAGTTTGCTCCTCAGGCTCAGAAATATCACAAATCATCATGAGGTGATTAAATTCCAAGTATATTCTTCCATGGACAGTTCCTTTTGTTTGAGATTGTGAAACTGGACGAAGGTATCTTGCCAATAGTTCGTCAATAAGAACTTTTTCTTCAATTCTTTCTTCATCTTTTCCCAAGTTACGATACGGCTTCTTCCTTCACAAGCTCTTTGCTTCTTCAAGTGCTTCCACCAAATAGACGCATGTTTTTTGAGCTTGATGGCGACTAGTTTCACCTTCCGATCAGTTGGTATTTCTTTGTAGTTAAAGATTTTTTCTACCGCGTGTAACCAATCCATGAATTCTTCCGGTTGCATCTTCCCCTCAAATTCAGGAATTTCAACCTTCACATAGGAATCTTGCTGACTTTCTTGAAACCTTCGATACTGACGTCGAGGAAGTCCCTCCTCACTCGAAGCATGACTTCGAGCGCCAGTGAAAAGGTTAACATCCTCTTCATCAGAAAGAGCATCTTCTGAATCGTGACGCAAATCATCACGTTCCAGAAGTTCAAAGCGTTGCAAATGCTCTTGCAGTTGCTGCACTTGTCTCCTTAAATCATCCACCTCCACGTCTCGTAGGTCTCTTTCTCGAGCTATAGAAGACTCAACATTTGGTCCACGTCGATGACGACCAGCTATTGAATCGTGCTCTAATACCAATTTGACGCCGGAGAAAGTGTAGAGAAGTAGGAGGCAACATAAGTGAGAACTGGAATAAATAGGTCACTCGCCACACGTAAGTAATTAACCTAGGAGATAAGAGCAAATACTTGCCACCCGTAAGAATCCACCTAAGGGATAATAGTAAAACAAGAAATCCTTATTGTTCTCAAGCCAAATGCTCAATTAATTTTACTCAAAATAAGTCTTGCTTTGTTATTTATCATAGCACGCTTAAATAGAGCATGGAACAACCCTCCAACCTTGAGTAATTACTAAGACTCTTTGGAAAATCAAAAGACTCATAGGAAAGACAAACAACAATTACTAGAAAACAACCATAAATAAATAAGGACTTTAGAAACTTGAATGGCATTAACTAGACGTAGAAAATATATGATAATTAAATGTAACCGATTGAAGGTCTCCATAATTTTACCATTTTCAAAGTGGATAATTTAATGGCCTTTATATTTTTGAAGGAACCGAACAGTCTTCAGTTCGTTGTGATCGATGAGTCGACTTTGAATCGACAATATTGACAAGAGCCGACTTGGTGTTGATAATATCGGCAAGAGTCGATAACTCGTCGACAACTCGACATCTTCACAGAATGCTCCGGCATCAATTATATATATACTTGTATGTGTATACAACAATAACAAGATCATTAGTATACTGTAGAAAATTGGGGCAAGAGAGGTGTCCCCGCATACCGTACCAATATTCATTGTTAAGTTGATCAACCACCAAGGATCAACCTTGATCCAGGGTCACGAGGACTTGGCAACGACCTCTATCTCCACGCGTCGAGGCAAAGCAAAGAGAAAAGAGAGAGCTGGGTTATTTTAGTGCGGCGTGAAATTATTATCACGTGACACGAATTCGATTGTTCTTTGAATCACCGGTACAATAGGTGGGGCCTGGACATGAATCCTCTATCCCACACAGTACTTTAACGAGTGTCTCAATGATTATCAACCGTTGTTTTTATGAAAATGGGGTTGTTATCGACAGTGGAGATTTATCAAGACACCGAGGGAAGTACCCGTGCGGGGAGGTAGGGGATTTTGATATGTTCCCCTTTCCCTACAAAGTGATATGAGAAAAACTATAAGTAGTTATTTAAATTAGTAATATTTAAATAACCTAACATCAATTTCTCACTATGACTTTACAGGTTAATTTAGTGCATCAATCTAAGTACATGTAGTATCACTGTCGTCGGAGAGATTCGTGTAATTTGTGAATAGGAGGCTACTGATTTTTGTAGTCAGCAAACCCTAATCGGTCATCATCATCATCATTAGCAACTTCAATCCCAGAGTGCACCAGATGCCACCTTACTCTGATTCCACTGTCGTTTAAACGATAGTAAACCCTACTTTTGTCCCACAATTGCAGTTGGACTTGGGAGACTCGAGAAAGTGCAATCCTATTCGCTTACTGCGATACTAGTAGGAGTCCCTTTTGCGTCAAGAAACTTTATAACACACTTTCTTGTGCATCGTGTCCGCCTCCGTTCATAACGTCGTAAGTCGCAATTTCGGGCTTTAAAAATGATCTGCAATACGAACTCCGAATCATTCATTGAGCCATGCTAATGTGCGGAGAGAAATGTCAATAAAGTGCGTCCAAAAAGGGTCCTCAAACTAAAGACGAAGCCATCTTCTCTTTTTTAAAATCTTCGTTCTCTTTTTGTTCTCTTTCGTTAGAGCTCCGTTCAAAATTGGATCTCTCTCGGTGCGATGCGGCTGGAAGCAATTCACACACAGTCCTAAAGCACCCTTTTTAGGCGCCCGATAGCCCGAGACCGACTCCTTTTTCCCTTGAAACCATCCCAGCATTGTGTTCGTAGTGAAGAGAGACCATATTTATATTAAGCAAATCTGCTGTAAACAAAGTTAAATATATAAAAAAAAACTATATCTTCAAGAAAACGCCCACCAAGCCTACGACTGGGCTCGAAAGGTTTTTGTTTAGATGAGCTTAGTCTACGTGATTTATATATAATGCAATATTTTGTTTATACTTTGTGCACAATCATGAAAACAATAACCAATCGAAGTGCAAAAGAGTTGCGTCTGATGAGGTTCATAATTATGTTCTTTTAGTATATGACATTGTGGGTTCATCCTGCCTACCATCTCCATTCCTCAGCTTCAGACAATCTCTCCTCCATGTGCCCTGAAACATCCTCTTCAGCATGCAAAAATGATTATTTAAACCATTCATGGTATAATGGGCCTGAAGTTTTGCTAATCATCTAGTAAAAGCTTTACATGTCTAGCGATTGTTCTTATTACTCTGCGTGCATCATCTATAATCTAGTTTCCATGATGAGTATCTTCAGATCAGTCGGCTTACTAATTAGTGTATAGAGAGCGACAAATCACTTATCTTCCAAACAGATAAAGAGAGACAAGTAAGATTAAGACAGACGAGAGAAAAAGACTTGATTTTTCAATCTCAGCTAGCGGAACAACATGATACAAGCAATAATGTTCTGTACAAATCGCAAATGCAATAACACCCATACCCGCATTCATTGAGTAGTCTACTCGCTAGAGGGGGGATAACAAAATACTAATAGCTTGCAAATGTGGAAGGAGGCATGAGATTCAACCTCAGCTCATCATTTTCCAACACCAAACGAGCCTTATTACTGTTAGTCTCCGAGATCTTCAACGGAGTGTACTTATCGGGATGCAACCGCTTCTTCGACCGGAGAGGCACTCCAAATAGCTTCATCTTGCTGCTGCTGCAATTAGTCGCGTCTTCCTCATCGAGAATCGTGACGGAGCTCTGTGAAGTGTTGGTGGGAGAGTCCGCAACATTATTACCAACTTGAGCGACGTGGTTCTTAAGGCCATTTGTCGCAGGAAAGTTCCCGAAAGCCTGGTTCGAAATGACAGGATTACTCGGAGCGACGGGTTTCACGTGATTCTGCACGAAATAGATGATGTCGTTGTACAGCTTCCTCATGTGAGCGAGCTCGGAAGCGAGCATATCATTGCTTCTTCTCAGCCTCTCGTTGTCCTTGGCGAGAGCCGCAACAACCGATGATGACGATGACGATGAAGGGCTGTTGTTGTAGCTAACAAAGTTGTCCACCACTGAAACATTAGGAGTATTGATCAGTGGGGACGAGTCACACCAGGCCAACTCGTCTGAATCGGGAGGAGAGAAGCAGCTGACTCGGCCACCAACGAAGGGAAAATAGCTGCCACATCCACCGATTGGAGACGGTGGATAGTGGTGGTTGATGGGCAATTGTTGGGGCTGCGGAGATTTTCTCCGATGGATCTCGCAGAGCAGGTGCTTCTCTCCTTTCCTGAAGAACTCGTTGGCAAACTCCCATCTGTCTGGTACAATCTTTCTGAAACCCTAAATCATCACACAGAACAACAAAAGCCTCTCAGCAAAAAATTAAGGTTCCTACCATTAGTTTACCTAGATTTTACATGATACTAGAGCAGAAATGTTCTTTTACTTATTCTCTCTTTCGTTGCTTCTCATTAGAAATGATTTCTACGATTCATTCATGAAATCTGCGCGAATGAATGCACACAATCAACTGTAGTAAAAGTTTCGGCTGTCAGCGCAGTGCAACAAAGCAAGAAGGGCGGCTTCATTCAAAAGTTAAGATTCGAGTTTCTTAAGTAATTGGGTAAAAACCTAGCCAAAGAATGAAACAAGAGAATCTGCATACATAGGTATTGAGCTGTCGAACGAAGCTGGAGAAGTTGTTGTGCTTGAAGTAGTTGGGGAGGAGATCGCGAGCGAACTCGGGGGGCCGCCACACGACGAAGGTGGTGTCGTCGTCGCCCCACGAGACGATGTGGTCTGTCGACGGGTCGTCCACCAGCTGGTAGGTCTTGGTCAGGAACGGCGCAGGTATGGACTTCTGGGATTCCAAGGACAGCAGTATGCCTTCACACGAGTTCTCCAGCAGAAGAGCCATAGTTCATGCAAGAGAGAGAGAGAAAGAGAGACTAACAGATGGTCTTTTGGTGGCTGTGGCTGAGACTGAGATATGAGAGATGAATGTGAAGTATGCCAAGCTTTTGCAAAGGGGGTGATAATGGAGGACAGCGATAGCTACTGAACTTGGGACTGAGTTAGCAAGCACACCAGTCTCCTCTAGTTTTAAAAAGCGAAGACACACTGCTCACCCAGATTGATTTATGCAATTATTCCATCGGAGACCGTGAGCGGGAATCTAAACAAAACACCGCCTTAAATAATGTGGGGTTAGGATGTTTTTTTGTATTTACAACATGGTGGATCAATCGTAATATCTCTCCAATGTTGCACGACGAACTATATTCAAAACACTAATAAGACAATCTCCAAAAGAAAGTATCCCTCCTAACATAATTCAGTAGTAAAGTACACGGGGTCTTGCGTCCTCGATAGATGGAAGTGGGGGAGAATATGTGTCCGAAGAAGAGCTAAACATCGAGTGCAATTCGGATTGTGTGAGCCCGGTTAACGTCTACCGCTAGATCACGCGACTTCCGTATGGAGCCCATCTCATCTGACAGTATCTGTGAGTTGGGCTCACGATGATCGGATGTTGGTGAGGAGGATCTTGTGTCTGAGTGTCTAGAACAGTGAAATGAAAAGGGGCTTTCGAGACAAACCCGTGAGTCTCACTCCGCTTTCTGACATTGATTCCGCCCGCTTTGAAATCTACACTCACTTAGGAAAATGGAGGCAGCCTATCATGCAAAATTGTCCTTTTCTGCCCCCCTTCACTCTCTCTCTCTCTCTCTCAAACACAGTGTAAAAACAAGTAGAACCCACAAATTATGTTGAACCGTAGTCAATTGGTGCGGTTGGCTCGGTTTTGAGATAATGTCTTTGGAAAAATGCAAAATTTTTTGGGCTAAATAAATTTTTCGAAATGCAAATATTATTTGGTAAAGTATAAAACACATTGTGAAATAACTTTGACCCAAATTCCGTTTGGTAAAAACTACAATTTATAAAGGATTTTTACTAATTTTTTTTTAACTAGCCACCGCTTAAGCTAATCGGCCGCCGATCAACCTCGTCTGAGGTCGCATGACCTTAGGCGAGGGTGGCGGTAGCTCATCGGTGGCTTGCAGGTTACTCGCTAGTAGCTGAGGCCTTCGCCGGCAAGTTAGTCTTTTCAAGGATATTTTCGGAATTATGAAAGTTGAGTGAGGGCAAAGTTGGAAAAAAAAAGTATATTTGTATTCCAAGAATGCTGCTTTCCTAAGTACCTCTGGACTTGCCTTGGGCCAAAGGTCTTTGGAAAGCAATTGCATTTCCCCAAAATTCTCCAAAAGATGAACCAAACGCCATTTGCATTTGGTCAATGGACTTTAAAGCCTCCAAAACTCTAGAGGATATGTTTTCGGTGCATTTTATTTTTTACTTGATTAAACATGCGATTTTTTTTTGAAAGCTCGGTACTGGAAGTATCTACTATCGTGATTAACAAGAGATAAAACTCGCTCAGTTTGAGAAACGAGTAACGTGTTGGCAAGTTGATGATGAGATATGTCTAATCCGAAGCTCAAGATATCGTCTTTACGATAATTACTCATTAAGTTTCTCATTTCGATATTCAGCTTCGAGTAACGTTAGGGATATAATATATATGCAAATTATTGTACGAAAGCTAATGCAAGCACAGATATTCCAATTTTCTACCATCACGAGTCACATACCACTCTTAAAACAAAAAAAGACGAATGGTTACAATAGAAGTTGAGTTTTTATATACAAATTATTTTTATATAGATGTTATAACTCTAATAGTATTCTATCATCTTTTACCATTTGGAAAAAAAAAAAAAGCCTATTTCCTAACATGATTACGGACTGCAGGTCAAGAGTTTGAATCTTATGGGTCTCTCTCAACTTTCTCATGCTTGTAACTCCTGTTATTCTGTATATTTCTCCATTGCTGGTAATCTGTTTAATGTGGTTATGCCCACATCTTGTGTTACTTTATGATTAAATCAGCTTATACGCGAGCGAGAGTATAAAGTCATATATGCCAAATCTAGTTTCAAAAGTGTGGAGAGAGAGAGAGAGAGAGAGAGAGAGAGAGAGAAGGGTAGTTCTGCGAAATGGAGTGGAGTTTGGCATCTCAAGAAAAAGTTATTAAGAAAAGAAAGGAGAGGAAGGTGCTTTCATTTCACGTCAAACGAGCGTCTCCTTTCTATTTTGTAGTTTTCCCTTTGTTGTTTAACGTCACCAACCCAACACCACTCCAAGATTCGAATCCCACACGTTATTCAATCTTTTGTTTTAGCATATACATACAAGGTCAAGGTTGCATCGAAGTACGCGTGAGATTAGGACCAACACTTGTTTGGAGACAACATATCATTATCCTCCTCTTCTGCGGTATATCAAGATTTGAGGAACATTACTGCACTTACAACATAAACGTACCTTCAATGCATTTGGATGGTTGAATAGAGTCATCAATCCCATATACATAGCTTTGTCTAAAGAAGAAAGAAGCCATTAGTTAGGCAACCGTTTGAATTACAGGGTGCTACCGTACCACACGGCCTATGTAAAAAGTGAATTACACGAACTAGTGGACTATACTATACGTGCGTATAACTGTTACCAAAACCAGTACATACGCACTTGCCATCGGAAAAATATGTTTGCATTTCATATTTGCACAACCTGTGTTCATAACACATATTTAGGAAGAAAGAAAGGGATGATCGATAACTTTTTCCAGTTGATGACGTTCTCTGAAGGTTTTTAATTTATAGTCGAACGCTTTTTATTAATCATAATAAAAATTGTGACACTATACGCCGCTTAACATTCTCTAATATTGTAAACCGAAGAAATCACTACCTAAGTTTAATGTACATTTACTGAACTTTCAAGCGATCGATAAAGAGCAAGAAAGGAGTCGATGAGGAAGACTAGCCAAGGAGAATCTATTCTGTAATGTGAGAACACAGGGAACAGGAGTCAGCATCGCTTCCATAAACTTCCAAAGTGTCCACGCCATAACATATCAGATTTCAAGTTCTTTAGAATTTCAAGAAGGGAAAGCTCGACAGTCCGACAGAATACGGATAAATCCAATTATGTAGAGTTGATGACTGATGGTTTCTATGCATCTTTTATCGGGATAAAAGAAGACAGTTTCTAGGTCTACGTAAAATGAAA